ATTCCCATCCTATTGTTTATGAAATGAGACTGGAGACCAGGGATTCCAAGGATGTTAGAGACCTTAGGGGTGAGGGCCGGGATAACAGAAATGAAGCAAGGGAGTTATTATATGAAGAGGCAAAGAGGGATTCTCAAATTGCTAAAGGTGAAAAGGATGATAGTGCTAGGTTTGAGGGTAGAGGGGATGATAATAAAGAGATGAAGTATGAAAGGGAAAACCATAATGATCAGAAGGGTGATATGAAGATGGAAAAGGAAGGTTATGGTCACTTGAATTGGAAAGAATCAAAAGAATACCACAGGGGGAAAAGATACTCAGAACCCCCGAGTGGAAACATGGATTCATGGCATATTTCACGTGGCACTTCACAAGCGTTGGCTGAGGCTGGGAAGGAAGGATCTGCACCTGAAGAGAGGGATTATGTGGAAGGACACGAGGCTGTCGGGGAGAATAAAATCGATTCCAAAGGTGAGGATAGATTTAAGGAAAAGGATAGAAAAAGGAAAGAGGGAAAGCACCGGGATTGGGCCGACCGAGATAAGGAAAGGAGTGATCGTAGGAGCAGCATGCAAGTAGGTAATACTACTAGTGAGACCAAGGAACCTGCAAGAGAAGAAAGAGAAGCTGAGAGGTGGGAAAGGGAGAGGAAGGATCTGAAGGAAAAGGAAAGACTAAAAGAGAGGGAAAAGGACCACATCAAAAGAGATTCATGGAATGGAATTGAGAAAGATGGTACGCACAGTGAGAAGGGACTTCTGGATGGTTCTGTCAGAGTCCCGGAGCAGGAAAATCCAGCAACAGATCAGAAGAAACAGAAAGATTCAGAGAACTGGAAAAATGCTGAGAGGGATCCTAGAGATAGAAGGAGAGAAAGAGATGCTGATACAGAAGGAGAGAGACCTGAAAAGCGCAGCAGGTGTTACGACAAAGAATCTGATGATGGATGCACTGAGGGTGAAGTAGCTGCAGAAAGGGAAAAGGAAATATTCAGTTATGGAGTCCAGCAGCGTAAGAGGATGCTTCGCCCTAGAGGCAGCCCTCAAGTGTCCAACCGTGAGCCTCGTTTTAGGTCCCGAGCTCAGGACAATGAAGGGTCAGTTTCTCTATTTTTGGTTGTTGATTCAATTGCTATTATATTTAGGTAACTTTTAATGTTGCCTTTTCTACAATCTATTTATTGATATGCAACCTAGGCCAAGAAGGTCTATCTATATCAATATAAATTCCTAATTGGAACTTCCGAAATTGTTTATTAGAACTTAATTGCTTAAAATCTTTTACAGGTGTGGGTGATCATTCTGTTGCTTCATTATTTCCATTGTGGGATTTATTTATCTTAGCGGTGTTTTGAGTGAAGATGAAATTAATTATATTTCTTTGCTTTATTTAGCTAGTTAATAGACTTCGGCTGATATACCTTTTTAAGATTATAAGGAAGCAAGTACTGATTTTTATTTGATAAAACAATAACATGTTTGGATTAGGAAGAGAATAAGAAAAGCGAGAAAAACTGCAGAAAATGGAAAAAATCTAGCCTGGTGAAAATAAAAGCACATCTCAGTTCCTCTGTAGGGTAGATGATGGAATTTCCTTATAGAAACTATGTGCTTTGTTGTAAAGAGAGGCCAACAGCAGCATCCTCTCCCGAACACCATTAGCTGAGTGAGATTGATTTTTTAAAATTCTTGCATTTCTCTGTAACCAAAGGACCCATAAACTTGCAATAATAGCCCACCTCCAATGCACATGCTCCTTACTCCTGAAGCCAATTATAGAAATATAGATGATAATTTCCAAATTTGGGGAAAGACGTCGCATTCACCCGAAAGAGGTACATGATCCAGTCCGAACTTTTCAAGCCCAAAGAGCAGAAATAGATGTATTTATCAAGTTATGAAAGTACATAAAACAAGCATTATGGAGAGCTTTATGAGCTTTAGTAGCCTGAATCAATATGTTGATATTAATAGAACTGAAATGCAAATAAAAACTCTTACGGCTCGAGGGAGCTTTCATTTTCCAGAAACAGGAAGGAATAACAAAATTGACTTAGTTTCAGCTATAGGTAAGATGATAAAAGGAAAGATTTACTAGCAAAAGCCCCTGAAGCATCAAGAAACCAAATTCTCTAATTAGGCCTAGAAGTGGGCAGAGTGGTTTAAATAAAGTAATCAAGGATATTAAATCTCATGAGTAACCTAAAAAAGTCAAAATTAAATGCCTATTCATCTATGGAAGTGGCCAAGGACATCCAAAGGGAACAACCATCCAGAACTTCCAACTATATATGCTCTCAGACCAATTGATGGCACACACGCACATATATATATATATATATATTTCGTAACCGCAACAATAATTAGCAGTTATGCTAACCCTTAACCACTAAGGATTGTTCAAGTTTTCATACTTAACATTATAGCACTTAATTCTTGTAGTTAGGTAATGATGTCCAATGGATTTAATGCTCTTTATATCTGTCATTACTATTTTGCATTATTTTTGTTTTTTCAGAAGGATTAGTTCTGCTATATTAATGTTCTTTTTTTTAAGATAAGATAGTCTACGTTTATCGGAATGTTGCCTGATGTTCAGATGAAGGGTTTAAAGATGCACTTTTTCTCTTGTTTCAAGACTTGAAAACCAATTTTCTTCTTCCTTTTCTTGGTACTTTAAGGTAGAGTGATTTGGTTTACTTTCTTAACTTTGCAGATCTCAAGGTAAGCGCGATTTTCTATTTTTCTTCAGATGGAACAATGTGGGGAATTTTGTGGTGAACAGCGATTCTTGATTCTTTGAAGTACTGCTAACTGCACAAGAGATATCTTCAATTTGCAGATTTCTCCATCTTTCTTCTGAAATATGTGTGCGCATATATATATATATATATATCTATATACATATATGATTCAGTTATTTTCTTTTGTTATTTATATATTATTATCCAAGAAATATTTTTAGTATTTTTTGGGGAAAGATTGGGTGCATGATGTCTTAGGGTTGCGCGTAAACAAGTAAGCTTCTTGTTGTCTTAAGGATGATTAGTTTATTTGATGAGGAAAAATAAGTTATCTTTAAGGTGACAAAATATTCCTAGAAACAGTTAATAGTTTTTCATTTATGAATATACCTTATACTGGGCTGTGTTTATTCTATTTGAGGTGTATTTTATTCTACCATACATGGCCGCTTTTCTGTTTTATCATGGGACAGTTCAGGTAACATGTCTGGGTTTCTTTATATATCTGTTTTTCTTAATCTAACTTATAAGCTGGACAGTTTCAAATATTATTACTTTGGTGGAATTATATCATTTTTTTATTAAAAAAAAAGAGAAATTCTGTTGATTTAATTTCCAGATCATGCCATAAAGTGAATATAACATAACACTGCTGGTCATTCAGGTAAATCTGAAATGTCATCTGTTGTTTACAAAGTTGGTGAATGTATGCAAGAATTGATTAAGCTGTGGAAAGAATATGAAGCATCCCAAAGTGATAAAAATGGAGATTTCCCAAATAATGGTCCCACCCTTGAAATTCGGATACCTGCTGAGCATGTCACTGCTACCAATCGTCAAGTAAGACTGCTTTATGTTTATTTTTGGGTGATAATTTCTGAAGCTGTTTTTTTCCTTCCCAATGAACCCTTTCCTATTTAGCTTACTAATTTCTACTATCTCGGGCTTATTTTATTTGCTTTTATATATTTAGATATTTGAACCCTTTATCTTTATCCCATTGATATCTTTTGATAAATAGAAGATTCTAGAACTTGCTAGCTGTTTGAAACACGTTAAATTGGTGGATTTGGGACTACAATAGGGTCTTGGTAGCATGTGGAGCGCAGGCTAACTTTTGATGTTTAAAGCCATAACACTAATTAAGGATGTATAGAACTAATAGCTTCTTGGTTTGATGTAAGACAATGAGGATGTATATTTTTCTATGATGTGACTTCCTCCTGGTATCTGCCCTTCATTTGAGGTTTTAAATTGGAACTGGGAGTCTCTTCTTATCCCCCTGTCTGTTTCTCTGTGTCTGTGATCGCACTAGAGCTGTGCACTAGAGCTGTTCATTCAATATATTTATGAAATCCTCTTTTACAAAAAGCTGTCTTAACTGCAAAATCAATGTGCATTCTGGCTAATGTTCATTTATTTAAACCATGGTATGTCTGGAATCCTCTTATTGCATAAATGCTAATTTTAGGTTTGAAGGGAGGAGGTGGGTTTAGTTGGTATGTTGCTTTGGTTCAATATTGAACCATATAATTTGGTAAATTCAAAATAAATAAAATAGAATTAGATATATACTAGAATTTATATGTTTCAAAAGAAGAGAAAATATACCACAAGTTTCAGAAGGTGGGAATTGATATTTTAAAATTTCAGTTGTCACTTTAGTAGTGGATGCTGGCTCTTCACTTTGAGCCATCTTTAGTCAACCTCTAGTGGAAGTGGATATTAGCTGGACTCTTGGCTAAGACTTAGGTATTTCCTCCTTTCTGGAGGATAGTTAATCCTTCTTTAGATTGTAATATGTTTTCCAGATTCTAATATACCTATTATCAAGGAAAAAAGAAAAAAGAATAGAACTTTTTATATAGTCTTCAACTCTTCACCTGCCAGACTCTTCCTATCTTCTGTACTCTCTCTCAATCTCAGATATCAGAATTTTGTTCTACTTCAGTTTCAATCTTCTGCTCTCAGTCTTCAGATTTATACTCTACAGAATTGTATTTCTTCACCTAGAATGTCTCTGGAAATTAATAAATCTGCTTTCCTTCCTACTCTTGGCCCAAATCTTTACCTTAAATTTGATTCTCCTATCTTAATGATCCAATTCAGGAACCAGAGCTATCCATGACTTCATGCTGCAATTCAATTTGAAATTTAGAAAACAGGGGGGTTGTGCAGTCAGCTAACAAAACGAGGACTTTAGGTATTGATATCTTCTTGGGTTGTGTGCATCAGCTGGAAGCTTCTGTAGTAATATATTTTTGTAGACTAAATCTCAAATCTTAAAACCTCAACCCCAAATAAATAAATTTAAAATTTATTAATTACATAGTGCTTAGTCGATGGAATGAAGTTCCCTGTTGGAAAAAAACTGTTATTTAAAGCCTTTGGTCTTCATGTGGATGTCCAAGGTAATTACATATAGTGCACCGAAATCCTGTGAACTTTTATGTTAAAAATATTCTAAGAACATTATAGTAGTCACTCTGTTACTTGAATGTCATTTTAGTGAAAAATACTTATTATGTAATTTATATTCAGTTATAGGTTTTGATTTCCTTAGACTGATGGTGATAACTTGTTTGGTTTTGAGTATCTTCTTTAATATGGTGTAAGAGTGTGATTTGGGTGTTGAATCTATAAATGTGTTAAGATCCCATAAAAATTAGATGAAAATGTGGTTGAAAGCATGGGTGCACGAAGGAAACAGTGAAATCGGCTGCTGGAGATCGAAAAAAGGGAGCAAAGTGCGAGTGGTATATTGTCCGAAGGGAAGCAAAACCCAAAACCCTAGACGCCGAACTGGTTACTGAACCGGTGGATCATTTCTTATCAAGTGGTGAACCAAACTGATCCTTCATCTGGACTGCTTCTTCATGCACACACCGGCCTGACCTTTTAGATTCTTTCTCTCCAGCTGACATGTCTTTTGCCCAAACAAACAGCTTTTCGTCATCATTCTGGCATCAGTTGTGACAATTGGAAGAGATTTTCATGTATCATTTGGTGTATATAAATAAATGATTGTAAAATGAGAGAATCATGTAATTTGTGGAAATAAATCCCAAATAATTTATCTTCTCTCTCGAAAGTCTCGGTCTCTCTCTTTTCTTCTCTTCCCTCTCTGTTCTTCTCTCTCCCTCTTTCTCTCCATATTTCTCTCTCTTTCTCTTTCTAACAGTCTCTCACTCTTTCACAGCACTTTTTCTCTCTCTCTATACAAATTTCATCTATCTCTCTCTCCCTCTCTCTCCTGATCTCTTCTTTCCCCTCTCTTCCTGATCTCATCTTCTTTCTCAAATTTCTCTTTTTCCCCCTATCTATTTCTTTATTTCCAGAATCTCCCGTTCTTTATCTGATTTTCTTTTCTCCCCCACCTTTTCTTTATTTCCAGAATCTTCTCTTCTTTTTTCTATAATTTTCTTTTCTC